GCTGGTAACAGCCCCTGGGTGCTCTGTCCCCCCCGGTCCTGTTCCTGAGTTTTGTTTCACAGATAGCATTGATGACAGTGACCGTTGTCGCTGACTTTTCCTGCGGTGGGAGGGAGGCGGCAGGGTTGGGGAACAGGCAGAGGTTGCAGATGAGTCAAAACTTCTAGAGCCAGAGCCCACAGAAAGCACACGGAGATGGAAGCCTTTCAAGTGCCTGTCCTGGGCTGGGCCTCGCCCACGCTCTGCGGGAGGTCGGCCAGCTCTCGCTGAGTAGTGATGGGACAGCTGGGCTCAAGCTGCCGGTGAGAGAATAGCGGGCTGGCTGGCGGCTGGCTGGGCGACACCACCTTCCCCTCCTCTGCGCCCCTGCCTTCAGGAAGCCCCGGTGGCTTTAGGGAGAATCCGCGTGAAATCAGGGGCCAGCTAGCTTCTCACCACTTGTAGACGGCAGCTCAGGGAAGCCTCTCCTTCCATGCGCCTCACGTCTGTGGTGCTGACGGTTCTCATCGGCCAAAGCAGATTTCAGTCATGCTGTGTTGACAGGCTCGTGACTCCTTGGTACCCCCCCAGTGCCTGCTGGTTTGTCCTCTGACCCTGCCACTGGCAGTTCCTTCCTGAGGGGACCTACAGCACCTACATCAAATCTCCTTTAGGATCAGACTGCTTTAGTGTCACCAGGAGAAGGCAGAAATTGCTCCTGACCCCATCCATGTCTGTTTACAGAATGGGTTCAAAGATATGCCACAAAGACGGAAAAAATAAAATCTACCCTGTGTTTAAATGGACTCTCTCTCACAGCATTCCTAGTAGCTAATATTTTTTGAGTGCTTACTATGTTCCAGGCATTGTTCTGAGCACTTTACAGTTCATTAAATGTATTCTGTGTAGGAGAAAACTGAGGCACAGAGGGGTTACTTTTATTGCTTAGGACACACAGCATTTGAATATGGGTCATCTGGATCCAGAGGCCGCACTCTAAGTATTAGGGCATTTTGCTTTAATTAGTCAATTACCTAGTTGATTTCTGGATTAATTCAACAAACACTAACCAAGCACAAACTCTGTGTCACTAACTACACTGGAATTTCTTAGTCCTCACTCCTTTGATTCCCACTTCCATCTGTCAGGAAGTATTTGTGGATACCTCCAGTCTCTCCAGGGTTGTGCTCATGTAGATATGGGAGAAATGCAGAGTGTGACCTTGCCGTTGAGAAATTTACGGATGTGTAGACCAGGGTCGACAAAATTTTCTCTATACAGGGACAGACAGTAAATATTTTTGGCAGTGAAGGTCACATGGTCTCTGTCCTAACAAGTGTGAAAGCAGCTGCAGACAACGTGTAAGTGGACAAGCATGTGTGCATTCTGATAGAACCTTACAGAAGGAAGCAGCAGGCCATATTTGGCTCACGGGCTGCCTGCCATCGAGGACAAGAGAAGCCCTAAGAGAACCAGATAGGACGCTAAACAATGACAGTGTGACTGAGCGCAGACGAGAGAGTGTCAGGGAGCAGAGACCTGAGTGCCTCCAGGACGAGGCGGGAGGCGGGTGGGAGCCTTCCCCGAGGGATGGGAGCAGTGGGTGTCACGGGCCCGTCCACAGTGCCGATTCCTGCGGGCAGCAGGCACCTTGCTGGATGAACATCCTGGCCCCTCTCCTCCTTCGCTGACAGAGGCTCAGGTTTGTTTGTACCACCACGTACTCAGCTCCACGCCATGACTCGTCATTGATCAAAGTGCACCTTCATAGTCGCGTTCTCTAGTTTCCCAGCCGCATGACCTGAGGCTGATCTGTGAGGAGTCAGAGATGCTGCTGCGGGAGGTGGAGAGGGGCATTGGAGAAACCTTTTGTTCTTCTGAGCAAAGGGACAGTCAAAGCTAGTGCCAACATCCCTCATGTTTTCCTGCCAAGTGTGCACATGAGGATGAGCTGGGACAGCCGGCTTGGGGCCTTGAAGGAGTGAGAATAGGACAGAGGAAGAGCCAGGGCGGTGGACGGCTCCTGAGGCCCTCACAGGGCTGGGCTGCCTGCACCCGGCCTCGTCAGAGCTAAGCAGATCCTTTCATTGCTTTAAGTAGTGTTAGGTGAATTCGTAACAAATTCGTCTTTTAAAATAATCCAGGAGAAGTTGCTAGAACTTGCTTACTTCTAGAAGTTCTCCATTTTCTTAGATATTTCAGAAAATTGTACTAAATCAGGTGAGAATTATTTCTAATACTTTTCATTTTTTTGGTAATCTTCTCCAATATAGTGGTTAGGAGGGAAAAAAAGCATATTACAGACAAGTATTTACCTGCTTTTATTTAAATATTAGCATAAATGTCTTAAAATATGTACAATGAGGGGTTAATAGTGGTTGTGCCTGGGTAATTGATTCTCTCTAGATGGTAGAATTAGGAGTGTGTTTTTGCTTTGCTTTGTGTATTTGTCTAACTTTTCTGTAGAAAATATATAAACAGAAAATAATTTAAAAATGACACTGACCCAAACCAAATTAATTTTATTTTTAATTCAAGCTTCTTTGCTGTCTCACACTATTTTCCTCTCCTTGTTTTTCCTTTGGCTCTCTAAGCTTGTCTCTCATCAATTTTCTTCCCCATATTACTATTTTTTGTTCATTTGTTTTATAAACTCTGTCTTTCCACACATTTTCCTTTTTAATGTAGTCTGTAGGATGCTGTTGCAAGTGTGAAGTATGTCCTTGAAGTCTGAATCTCGTGTTACTAAGTTTCACCCAACTGTCTTCTACATTCACTTTTTCATTTCCTAAATGAGTCATAAATGTTGTTGAGCAGCTACTATGTGGCAGCCGCTATTCTACGTGTGACGACAGCGTTAGGAGGAAGGAACATTTGAAACTTTGTGCTCTTCTCTCTTACCCCTCTTTCCTTTGGGCTGTCTCACATCTACTTATTCTGTAAGACCCAATATAAAGGCTATTTCCTCCGTGAAACCTGGCGTGACCCACTCATTGAACTATTGACTCACTCCTCTACGTTTCCGTTACGTTGTTTCCACCAGTCTTTGGTTGTTTTTGTACTGATGGCACATTACGTTTGTTGGTATACATCCTCGTCTGGTCTGGGCATTCCTTAGGGAAGCCCCCGGGTCATTTTAACCTTCCCCTAGTGCTCAGCCCTGTGTCGCTTCTGTAAACAGCCTCCCCTCTAGGTACAGTGGGGGCCACAGGCCACGTGAATGACGTGATCAGATACATGCCCTCCATGGAGGAGTCCTGAGCTTGACCTGTGTCTCGTCACACCTCACCCTGGCTGTCAGTTGGTTCTCCCAGACACCAGTACCACTCACCGTGGTCATTTTGATCTCTTCTCCATTCTGCAGGTGCACCTCACCCCTTGTCTTGTCTAGACCACCTCAGCTGTGCCCCCTCCCAACTTTCTGACTTTTACAGGGAGCTCAGATCCTGGAGAGGAACCTGGAAGTGGATCATATTTTGTACTCAGCAAGCCTTCAGCTAATGTATTTAATAAACAGGTGATGGGAAAGTGAATGTTCATAGGAAATAGACGTTTAAAAATGATGCTTTTAATAGTAAGTTGGGGATGGAAGAGAATCAAAACACCATTGGCTGCTGGTGGTATTTATTGAAATGTGAGAAGGCACACAAATATGGCCTGAAAAACCCTGTTGTGGCTCATGAGGCCAGTATTCTCATGGTCACACAGGCTTGTTGGTGTAGTAACCCTCTTTAAATAAAGGGAAAAAAATAAGAAAACACAACTCTTTTCCAACTCAACTTAGATCAGGAAATTGCGGCAATTTCTAGAGTGTCAAGAGTAAAAATAAGACAGGAAGAATTAATCGTGCTAGCCCCAAATGAGAAGCTGTCACCACCAAAGCTGTAACTCTAAATGAGTATAACGCCTCTGAACACTCACAACTGTGCCGAGTATTTACATGCTCTCTGTGAAAGTGGCTCCAGCAGCAGGTGGTTTGGGTTGTGAAGCACACCATCTGTGTGACTACCCACCCCTTGCTAGAGTGCTCTGAGCTCAGCAGTTGTACAACAGATGCCTTTAAATATACAGTATTCCTCCTCGCACAGTTCAGAATGGGTGTTAGGAACTGAGGGAAAACAACCAGCTTCCTTGAAATTCAGACTCCATCTGACGTCTTTCCAGACACCTTCCATCCCCTGCTACATGCGATCCTGCAAGATAACGTTATCGTAGTGGATTTACAGATAGTTAAACGGGTCAGCTTGACTCCGAACGTCAGAGCTGCCATCACAGCCGTTAATGAGTCACTCAATCTGCAAGGTGAAACCAGATCATTGCCTGGCTTTCATTTCAGTGGAATCTGCGCAGTCATGGGGAAAGCAAGTCTACGGAAGTCGGATTGTCCCTGCTCCAGATAGACCAATAAAAACGGTCCTGCTGTAAGTCATCACGACCATATTATATATGTCTCTTTGGAAAGATAACACCAGACTAGATAGTTTTTGATAAAAACATGACATCAGGAAAAAAAGATTGAATTCCATCCATAGCCCTTATAGGTTGTTTATTTAAATGTTCCGCAGGCATTCACCAAGATATTTTATTTGGGGATTAGTTCATCCTAATTGCAGGAATGAGATCTGAAGTTGCATTTATCAGAATGTGCATTTTAGTAAGGGCTGTTAAATCCTTCTGAATTACGTTCTCACTTGCCTTCAACTGGATGAGGTGACATCGTGCTCTCTCAGGCTGGTCATAAGCCGTGCTGGCGAGGGACCAGCATTCCTCATGTAAATGGGTCAGGGCTTACATAAATGGCCCACAGGCCTCTCTCCTGTTTTCCCAATGGCAGTGGTTTGTGGGAGGCAGAGGTGTGGTCAACATTGGAAAAGATCACACTTAGGAATGGTGATATAACCTAAGGAATGTAAGGGAAGAAATGGATGAAAGAGGTGTAATCTACATTTATGTGATCAAATTCCAAACAGTAAATTTAACAAGACCAGAAAATGAATTGTCCTTGATGTTTTCCTGCTAACTCTGCATGAGACTTGCATTGTGACCCTCACCATGAAGGGCAACCACCATTGAGGGAGTCGCTGGAATCCAGCAGTTACAGGAGGAAGCCTTGCTCGTGACGTAACTGGCATCATGTGCATGATATTAGGAAACTGAATAAGCAAGAAGACCTACCTTGTATCAAGACAAACAGATTCTGAAGAGCCTGGGCATTCTGAGTCATAACAACATTGCTACTTTTTTCTCTTAGTGGGAAAAATAAGAAAAACATTACTTTTGAATTCAAATTAGGTCAGGAACTAGCAACAATTTCTGGAAACTCAAGACTAAAAATAAGAAATGGAGAATTAATCCTGTTAGCATAAAATGCAGAGTTGTCACCATTGAAAGGTAATGACAGGATGGTTCCCAGACCTGAACAGGAAGAGAAGAAGCCTGGACTCTGTGCAGAATCTCTCCCTGCCCTGGGTGGACAGTGAGCAGATATATATGTCCATCTTCTCTACCTAGGATTTTAAATCTTTACTAATAAATCACTACACCTCACATGGACCTTTACATTTTCAATTAATTTATTTCTATAGAGAGGGGCTCTGCAAAAAAATATTTGGCCAGGACTGCACATGGCCAAGAGGTGGCCTGACCGGCAGAGACAGACTAAGGCCTTGGAATTTCATTTGCTAGTCAATAAGTAAACACTGACAGACTGTTTAGCATAATACAAGAACCTAATTTTATTTCAGAACTGTAATATGCAAAAAGACCACGTAAGAAGATTTAGTGAGTATGAAAGAGCGATCACAGGCCCAGGAAGCCTGGGGACCAGTGCAGTTGCCCGAGTGAGGGCTCGTCCTCAGGGCAGGTAGAGGGAGCGATGCTTCAGACTTGGAGGGCAAGGAGAATGCTCGTGTCTTTAACAGAATTAGTGACATCTGAAGAAGAAACATGTTCTTTGAGGGGAAAGAAAAAGCATTTGGAATTTTATGCTTTGGAACGTTGGTTACTGAATTTGAATTTTAAGAATGATGACAGTCATGGAGCGTCTCGCTAAATTTTGCTTGTACTGAGATCCAAAGGTCTTTTGGCAGCAATTTCTCAGACACATTAATTAAATCTTTGAATAACCAGAAATCTTATTTAGACATTGTTAGAGTTGTCTCAACCTGCCTTTGTATAAGCATTTCCAAGTCAGTTTCCCCAAACAAGTGGGAGAGAAGTGGTCTGGCTTTCCTGTACTTGAAGCTGTTTCCATCCTCATCTGTGCACAGCACAACTTTGAGATCCAACAGAAGACTATCGGTAGAAAAACAATCCAGGCAGTTTGGATGTTTCTGGCTTTTTTCTGCTGAGGAATGTAAAGTTCAGACCACATCACCAAGTGATCATTCAGAGAGTGCGCCTGCACGCTCATGCTCCCCAGAATGGAAGCGGGCCCAGCTGATGCTCACACATGGGTAAAGGAACATTACTAAGAGTGAAAGGGCGTGTCTCGGGCTGTGTATGTGTGTGTGTGCACGCGTGTGTGTATGTGTGTGCGTGCGCGTGTGGGTGAGCACAACTCCCCAGCTTCCTACTAAACAGAAGGAGGTGACAGGGGCAAACAATTCAGTATAAAGCAAGGGCATGGGAGATAAAAATAGTCATCGGTGGTTATCAATGTTTGACTAATAGTTACACTGTAGTAATAAAGGCCCCAGACAGCCTCGGTGACTAAGATTCTCAGGGAAGGCTTGCTTCCTTTACTGGGTTGTGGGTTTTCATACGTGCTGGCCAAGTTGGCGAATCTCTGTTATGTATTGCAGGCGGATTAAAGTGGCCCAGAGGAGTGTCAGTGGCAGGATTCCACTCACAAAGAGTCACGATATGTTGGGTTATTTTGGATTTTTTACATTTAGTAATAAACTGATGTATTACAATTTTAAATTAATGTTTTTGGAAGAATTCACAATAATAATGAACTATTTAACTTTTTTTTGATGTGTATAAAAACTTTTTTCCCAATGTTTTCCTCATTACATGTCCATGGTGTGGCTATTAGAAGTAATCATGCTTAGATCATGAGGAAGTTCAAGCACAGAATTTAAGGAGTTTTCATGCATCTATTTATGTCCAAGGCAGAAAGAATAACTAGCATCCCCAGGACTTTCCACTGCATCACACTTTCCCTCTATTCACTTTGATTCTCAATTCATCTGAAAAACTGGTGTAGTTGGTGAGGTTTAACAGACATAAAACCAATTAAACTAAAGGTAGAGACCCTCAAAGAGATGGAGTCATCCCACTGTCTGAATTCCTTGATTACTGAGAGTGAAACTCGTGCTGTGTGTGTCTTCACTGTTTCTCTTTCACCTAGAGGGAAGCATTCTTTGAGGAGGTTTGAAATAAGGATAAATAAATAATTTAAAACAACTTGTTATACGACTGTTGACAGTTACCTATGTTGTGTAAGGGGAAGGTGTGTTGACTAGACATCAGGACTAATTCTAGACCCATTCTCCCATTATCTAGTCAATTGTTTTAGGAAAGTCTTTCTTGCTTCCCTCCCGCCCGCCCCTCCGCCCCCTCTCTTTCCTTCTTTTCTTTATGAATCCCATTGTTCTCCTCCGACCAAAGTTCGGGGATAACAAGGCCTAGCACACAGCTCCTCGAAGAGCTATTGGGATGATGTCAACAGTCCCACCCCTTTCCTCCCGTCTTGGGAACTAGTACCAACATTCAGCCAGCTCCTCAGTAAGATCTTCAGTCTCCCTGATCCTGTTCTTCTCCCCTAAACCTGTCCAATTGGGAGTCCTTCACAATGTCCTCCATATTTACTCCCTTCACCCCTTCCCCGCTTCTGTTCCACCGTGGGCCATCCAGACGACTGTAACAGCCTCTAACTCTCCCCCTGCTTTCTCTCTTGACCTCACTCAGAGTATACTCTATCCAGCAGCCAAAAAGATCTTTTAAAAACAGAAATAAAATCATGTCATTTCCATGCTTTAAAGCTTCCAGTGATGTCCCGTTACACTCAGAAGATGCAGAATGCTTACCATGGCCTCTGGGCAGATTCAAGATGGCCACAATTCTTTGCAGCTCTTCCCTTAGAGAGCAGGCGCTCGATTCTCCTCCCTTGGAAACTGGGCTGGGCTTACTGCCTTGTCTGGTTAACAAAAAACAGCAGAAGTGATGTTCAGAGACTTCCAAGAGCAGTCATAAGAAGGTCTGAAGCTTGGGTCGAGGCTTGCCCTGGGGGAAGCCAGGTTTCATGGAGAAGTCTAACCACCAGGGGAAGACGTGGTGCCACCTCGTGAGAAGAAGGAGCCATTTGGAGAGGCCCTAGAATGTGGGATGCCATGTAGACAGAGAGAAAGGCCAAGGAGCACTGAGGCACAGACACCAATGAAGAAATCCCCTGCGAAGTGGGTTCTCCAGCCTCAGCTGCCCCGGCTAATCCCACACGGACCAGGGACAAATTGCCTGGAAGAATTTTCCCATATTCCTAATGTGCAAATGGTGAGCAAAATATACCCTTTGTTTTAAACCACTGTGTTTTGGGGGTAATTTCACAGAAAGAGAGAGCCCAATAACTTCTGATGTCCTAACAATGTGGCTCTCCCCTCTCTCTCTGGGCCCATTCCTTCCACTTCCCTCTTCCTTCCCACCAGCAGCCACACTAGCTTCTCTGGCGTGAAGCTTGTTCCCGTGCCAGCACCTCTGCTCTCGCTCTGACCCAACTCCTGTCATTGTCATCTCCTTCTTGTCATGGAGCTCATGACACATTTTTAGCAGGGCCTTCCTGATCACTGGCTCTGCACCAGCCTCGCCGGACCCACACCACGTGAGCCCACCACCATCTTTGTTGTGCCAGCCGAGGGATGGGGTTGCTTTTTTATTTCAGACTCACTGGCTCTTTTGGTAATAGACTGTAAACTTTTGAGACCAGGGTCATATCTGTGTCTTTCACAAATGTGTTCTTAGTGCCTTTTATATTCAATATTTTTTAAATTATTGCACGTAGAAGTACTTCAAACTAATGGGTTTCATTATTATTGCACCACAAGAAACTATTGAAAGAAACCCCTGCGTGCTAGGAAATGCAGGCTGGGATGTACGCAGACATGAACCAGTGAGGTGTACCTAAAGATCCTGAAAGTTAGAATTCTCTACAACTGTAGGGAATTGGAAATATCCCACCATGTCAGTACCTTTACGTGCTCTCCACTCAGTCGCAGCGGTGCCTCTCGATGCTAGTTTCTCCTTTCGAACCTGGCAGCTCAGGTGGATGGTCTCTCTTCCTCCTCGGCCTCTGGCTCAGCCCTCAGTTCTCAGCATCCACCCTTTAGTAATAAAATGAAAAGTAAGGCATTCTCTTTGGTTTACCCATCCACAAAGTCATTGACCAAAGAGTTCACGAGAACATCAGATGTGTTAACCGTTCCACGAGGAGGCCTCCGCCTCTTTGAAAGAAGAGAAGTGAGCTCAGGGTCCTCTTTGTGTAGATCATGTGAAACCACATTTGACACCCGGTGACCACTCGGGGAGCAGGCTGCTGAGCGATTTGTTTTAGGCTAACGAGGGGGACAGAGCTCGACAAATCTGTAGAAAGATCATCTCTACAGGGATTTAGAGACAAGGAGTTCGATTTGATTTGGCTTTGATGAACTTATTGGCGTGATAAACTATGTAATTGTCAGCATGTCTCGGGAGAGTACGTTCAGTGCATGTTACTGTAGGACATATCTTCCTCCAGCGAGCTGGAGTAGCTCACTGCCTAGCGAGGAACTGAAATGTTGAAATGGAAATCCAGGCTTTGAGATTCCTAGAATCTCTGAAACCATCTTGCATCTTTCTCTCCATCTGCCTGTCAACACGACTTTCTGAAATAACTAATCTCGAAGGAATATTTTAGAAAAAAAAAATCATGTGAATGTGGTTTTTTTTCCCCTTAATAAATGCCAATCTTAGGCAGTGTTTTTGTCAGGAGTCTCTGTTCCAGCTTTAAAAGCCAAAAGAAAGATGAAAATGAGTACACCAAAATGTAATTTAAAATGCAAATGCAGATTCTTCAGAAAAGCAGCAAAAGCTAACTGTAGTTTTTCTTCATGTGTGTGTTGTTGTTACGTCTCCCTGCTGGGAATGCCCAGACCACAGCTGCACTGCCACACTGTGACCTCTCAGATAAAACACGTTTGACCTAAAAAACCCCAAACCCCAGTCACAGAAGTCAATAGGAACTTAACCCGATGCATTACTGGGTGGAAAGGCCACCATATGTGACAGTGTGGCTATGAGCTCATGAGAAATCCCCAGAACAGAGACAGCCATGGCACATTATAAAGAAAGGGCAGCGAGTCTATATTCTCCCAGAGCTCACGTAGTAGAGGTTAAGAAAAATTCCAGCCCCAAATTAAGGACAGCATGTGTTTTTAACTTATCAAGGCTGCACAAGTATTTCATACTTCGATGAACTTGGAGTCAATTCTAAAATGTGCAAGTTTAGCTCCTTTTGGTTGTAATTCTTGTCATAGCCAGATTCTAACAGGCTGCGTGTTATGCTGAGCTTCTGTAAGGATGTTATTTGCTGCAAAACCTTGTTCACCCTTTTAAATCTCTTGTTTGTGGATCCTAATTTTTTTACTCCATCCTCCTTTTCCTTGAGCAGATGGGTGTTATAATAAGTTCAATGAGCATGTTGTCACAAAATGTGAGTGGTCTTGCACAGGAGCAAAGGAGAGCCTGCTCAGAGGTGGTGGCTAGAGTCCAGGAGAAGGAACACACTTATCAAACAAAATAACTGCTAGGAAAAGCTTGAGTCAGTGGCAAAATTAGAATTTTGAATTTTTTTAATGATGCTTGGACTCAAGTGGGGTCCATACTCCATTATGTATGTTAAGTAGGACCACAAATCCTGTGGACAGAAATTCGTTCGTAATCCTATCCCTCACTAGCAAAATTTCATGGACTCAGTGAATAGAGCCCATTGGCTCTTCGTGACCTTTCCTGCCCCCTAGAGCATGTACCACTGCGCAGGAAGGGGGCCAGACAGAAACAAGAGGGAGGCTGCGCAGAGGGGAAGCCGGGACAGTCACCTTAACCACAGCAGAGTGTAGCGTGGTCCCTGGTGTCCACACACGTGCCGAGGTCCAGAGCGGTGGGACTGAGCAGGGAGGGAGGCCGTGGAGACCCCCTGTTCTGGCTCAGCCGGCTCTCAGCCTTGGGGCCCCCTGTGACTGCATCCTGCTGGTTTGTACCCACCTCTCTCTCTCCTTCCGGGCTTGGCCATCCCATGGTACCCTGCCTGGTAGCTCAGGCCTCCTTTGAGCAGTACGTATACTTTACAGCAAAGGGCAGAATCCTTGGTCCAGCCCTGTCGGTTGCCTTCCACGAGGAATCGCACCCACCTGTTGCATGTCTGATGAGCGGGTTTGAGGCAGAAAGCACGTGAAGAGGAGGAAAAGGAGTCGAAGCTCATTCTGAGCTTTGTGAGAAGTATCAGTTTACACAAAGAACAAGTTTTAAAGCAGGTCTTCAGGTATCAGTCACGTATATGCCAGTCTTCAAGTTTTATGGAATGAGTCAGACTATGCGAAGGTTCCTCATGCAGAACTACTTTCGTTTTCTCTGCAATTTCTTGCTTTTAGTTCCAAAGATTTATTTTTGAATTCCTTTTTTTTTTCCTGTGGGGGAGGGAAGGAAGTGAACTCTGAGGTCCCCTCCCCAGAAGCCTTATGCCTGAGTTCATCTGTGAAAATAGAGGGAAGAAAAGACTTTCATAATACTACTCAGAAATATATTTTTTCTTTTAGTAAATATTTTTGCATGAATATTGGAAGTTGTTTTATAAAGTGAAGATGGGAGCCACCCTTTCCTGCCTGTCATGCAGAGAAGGGGGGCACATGCTCAACTCATTTGTTGACTGTGTTACTTCTTTATGGAACATTATGAACATGATGCATATGACATCAAATTGAAAAAGGAAATTTCAAGTAAATCAAAGCTAAGGGAAATCCAGACGCAGGAGGAGGACAGAGGGTCCCTCAGAAGCAGGAAGATGCTTGGGGAACCTGACTTAGGGCTAACTGTAGCCCCATCTTCACCATGGCTAGTGCATCTGTTGTGTCTTCTTGGCCAGCATCACTCTGCATCAGCAGCTCCCTCCTCCCGTAAACCCGAAGCTTTATCCCTCCTTCCCTCTTGTCATTATTTCTGATGTCAGCCTGGCAGTTGGAGTGAAAAAAAACGGTCAATTATTTTGCTCAATTTTACAATAGTTGAAAAAAAAAAAGACCAATTTCCTTTTCTGTGTTACCCGTTAAAGACGACTCTCTATTCAAAATAAGTGGTGGATCTGAGACCCTATTAGATTTAGGCTCTACGTGATTCTCAAGTACATTTCCGTTTTTCATGATTATCTGAATTCCTTCTTCCTTAGGACCCACACATTGGAGTGATCCCATTTATGGAAAATTACCTGCTTCTGCTGCCTCTGCAGAATGACTGTAATGACATTAATACTAATAACACAACTACTCCTGATGATAACCATAGCAAACACCGGTATTTCTAGGTATTGGGCACTAAGTGCTACACGTGAACTCATTTATCCTCTAATAGCCCTGTAGGAGAGGTGCTGTTATTATCTCCATTTACAGACGAGGAAACTGGGGCACAGGTTGGTCACACAGCCAGCGTGTTTGAACTGTGATTCAAAACCAAGCAGTGTGGATCCAGAATTTAATGTTCTTAAGCACATGATGTGCCATTTTTCTGTAGTAATTTCTAAAATGTGTGTCTTTACCACCCACAACACAAAACAATACACTGCCATCACTGTCACTGCAGAGGAGCCGACACTCCCCAAGGCCACATCATGCCTTGACAGCGAGGTGCCTGGAAAAGCACGTTCATCCTTCCAAGTCCGGGGGAGGTCTGCATAGGACTCGTGGCCGCGCAGCGTGTCAAATAGACGCCTTGGTCTGAAGAAGTGACTCCATGCCAGAGAAGCTTTGCTCAGATGTCCAGATCCTGATGCGATCTGATGAGGCTTGGCGCCCGCAGGTGTCCAGCCCCAGACTGAATGTCATGACCTCAGGCAGGTCAAGAAACCTCAGATTCTTCCTTTATAAAAAAGAGATAATTCTGATCCCAGGCTGCTGAAGACTATCTCAGAAACTGAACACTGTCATTGTGTGCTGTAGGAATGGAGGTTTTGCTAGAGTTTTAGAGGAGAAAAACAGTGGTCGAACTGTCGTCATGTTACCTAAGAGTTTTGGCAAATAGAACGGAAAGCAGCTGCATGGTCTGGTGTCGCATCTCAGGCTGCGGGTGGACATACAGCATGTAGGAAGGAGCTCCTGTGCGTCTCCTTCACTTGCACACACAACACTTCTGACACCAGATGTGTGAGTTTGTTCTCACACCAAGCAATTCAGCAATACCAGCTGGGTGTCGTATGCCTCACTTCAGCTCTGACACACTCTACCTGGAGTTAGTGCAGACCCCACAGTTAAGGGCTGGGTCCCCCGTGACCACCCCTGCTTCAGACAGCCATCACAAGTCCCGGGTTGTCTTTGGTACTTCTGGCAAATAGCTGTAAATCAGGGTTCCCAAGACCCCTCCTTGGGTTCTGCAATTAGCTAGAACAGTTCACAGAACTCAGCAAAACGCTTAGGTTTTCTGGTTTATTCTATAAAGGATACAGATAAACATCCAGATGAAGAGAGCTATGGGGCAAAGTCTAGAAGGGTCCCAAGTGCAGGAGCTTCTGTCCCCACAGATTTGGGGTGCAGCATCCCAGCATGTGGATGTGTTCACCAACCCAGAAGCCTGCTGATCTCCATGCCCTTGGGATTTTTACGGAGGCTTCATCATGTAGGCATGATCAATCATTTACTCAGTCTCCAGCCCCTCTCCTCTTCCCAAAGGGTGCAGGTGAGGCTGAAAGGTTCAAGCTTCTAATCATGGTTTGGTCTTTATAGTGACCAGCCCCTGTCCAGAAGTCCACCCAGAGTCACCTCATTAGAATCAAAGATGCTCCTCCTACCCAGGAAACTCCAAGGGTTTTAGGAGCTCAGTGTAAGGGGCTGGGGTCAAAAGGCAAATATTAGAAAAACTATGCTCCTAGTGCTCTTATCACTCAGAAAATTACAACGGTTTTAGGAGCCCTGAGCCAGGAACTAGGGACAGAGACCAGTATATATACTTTCTATTATCTCACATCCAGAGGACACCATCTTTTTGTGTACCAAATGACAATAATTTATTGGCAGTAGATGTTAACTCTTCCTGATTATATTAAGAACTGCTTTAGATTTTTAAAATGCAGACTTTAAAAATATAACATGCAATAAAGATTAATAGCTGCCTACTCCAACATCCATTTTCCTTTCTCACCTTAGTAACAAACCCAGACACATTGTTGCCTGGAAACC